TAGAAATCAATAATGTGATGAAACTACTGAAATAGAATGCCCTAATGAATGTAAAAATGTTCTAAATCTAAAATATGCTTAGAATGTTAAGATGGTTTTTATGATTATTCAGTTGATAATCCAACTATTTAAACTATATAATGTCTTAGTTGTACTATTAAATTCAGTAAATGTAGTTCTTGTACACCAAGTATTTGCTTAAAATGTTTTCCTGGATATGAATATTATGATTACGAAGATAAATGCATTGAAGTTAATAAAAATGCTACTGATTGCAATGAAGGATGTACTTTATGTGGCTAAAATAGTATGTGCTTAAAATGTATGGATGGTTTTTATTAAGATTTTTTATATATATAAGACTTTAAATATAAAATTTGTTATGAATGCAGTAGTAAATTCAGTAATTGTAAAAAATGTGATTCGATTTAATGCATCAACTGTAATACTAGGTATAGTTTAAATAATTCTTCAAAATAATGCGAAATAATCCCGTCTTCTAGATTTTTAAATTAGGTTTAAGGTGATGATTAATGATAAAATAATTATTAAATATAACCATTTTATTTATTTATTAAGTTTTATTTAGATTATTATTATGATAATTTTAAATAATTAAATAAAATATTATTATAATAATAATAATTATAAATATTTATATTTTATTTAAAAAAATTATTTATTTAATATTTTTATATTTTAATTATTATGATTATTTAAATAGAAATTTTTTTAATTATTATAAAAATAAAAATAATAGCATTTTTTATTCTTTTATATTTATTTTTTGTAAAATATTATTTTCTTAAATAAAAACTTTTATATTGTAATTAATATTTATAAAAATAAATAAATAAGATATAATGTATAAATTTTAATATAAATTAATATTTAAAAATAAAAAAAAAAATTATTAAATATATATATTTATATAAAAGAGTTTTTATATTATATTATATTAATATTTTGTTAATTTTGTTAAAAAGATTTTAAAATGAATATATATATATTATATTGTAAATTTACTTTTATTTTGCTGAATTGATACTATATGTTTTTTCTGAAATAAATAAATATTATTTATCATAATATAAATATTTGATTGAAAATATATAAATAGAAAATAAAAATAATTCAGATATAAAATATAAGAATTAAATTATTTAAATGCTGATATAAAAGAAACTTTAATATATTATAGTATTGAAAATAATATCATGATAATTATATTAATAAGAAATAAATTATAAAAACTGCATATTAAATAATTTTATATTTTCTTGATTTTTAAAAATGTAAAAATGCATAATAATATGACTTTAAGCTTTTAATCTTTTAATTCGATATAATTTTTTTAGTATTGAATAATATATGATATAGTATAAATATTGATACATATTATACTATTTTATTAAGAATTATTTTTTTAAATATTATTATAATTATAATTTGACAATTAATTCTTTGCTTATAGCTTTTTATAATGTAAAAAATAATTTGAAGGATAAAAATACAAAAAAATAAAATAAAAGAATAATTAAAATATATATATATATATATTTTACTTAATTATTTATATATTTATATTTAAAGTAATAAATTTTATTCATAATTAGCATTTTATAAAAATTCGTAATTTATAATTGCATACATAAGAATATAATTGTCATTAAACTTATTATTAATACATATATTAACACAATTATTAATTATATAATATTTTAAAGTTTCATAACACGAAATAGTAACTATACTATTCTACTTTCTCATACAAAATTAGTTATTAAATGTCCACAAGTATAATGGAATCCAATTTTAAATAAATATTCATCTTATTTTCTAAAATTTATTAAATGTCCTTATATTTATACCGAAATATATTCCATACTTAAAAATTAACAAATTTTATGCAAATTTTATAGTTTCATCTTATTATAGTCTGATCCTCCAGCATCAAAAGTTGACTAATTTTTTTTAAAATGCTATTTGTATAAATTATCTTCCAAAAAATCCAAAGAATTAGCTTCAAATTTTTGATATAATGATTTTTGAGTATATTATCTAAATAATTATGTGACAATCTTTCTAAATTCTTGATTTATTAATCATATTTTTAATCAAAAGTATATTGAAAAGAATTAGAATTAAAGAAAATAAACTAAATAAAAAGACAATAAAAATTCCGAAAAAGTAACTATTATAAAAAATGAGAAGGAATAAATTTAACAAATAAATTTTTATTTAAGAACTTTTTCTTAATTAAAATCCTGTATAATGTTCTTTTTTTTAAGCATTAATATAAATAAAAATTAAGGATGTTTTACTTTTAATATATTAATTTAAATTTATTTATATTTTATTATAAAAATATATTAATATAAATAAATAAATATTTTATTATTTATATTATATTTTT